CAATGTGGTAGCGCTTGTAAATCACAAAGTGGGCCTGCTGTAAAGCAAACGGCGTCTTTATCGTCCTTTTTGACTCTAATGGGGACCGTAATTCAAAAAGGAACATTGTGTTGTAATAAATATGACTTGAAACTAAAACTAATGACCATAAACTCATCAGGAACGTGTTTACTGAGGCCACAGATCAGCGACCCGAGGGCCATTTTCTTGTAGACAGTTTTATAGATGGGCTTTCTTCTGCACTTAGTTTCACACTGCTGGCCAAGGTAACTTTACTATTCAGACATCCTTTTTATACAGTCTATGTTATAAAGTGATATTTAGCCTGACAGTTGGTGCTGATACCAGTCCATATTCTTTTGTTTATTGGGTTTTAGTTATTTCCCCTCTTTCTGTCAGGTGAGATGGCTTTAGTTTAAAAAACAAGTTTTAACGTCAGCTGTTGGCAACATTCAACCTTTAACAAGCACCTAACATAACCGACGAATATCAACCACTAAATACGGAGTTATTACTTTCTCATAAGCTGACATCAATCAACAAGATAGCTGATACCAATATTTGATACTACTTACAAACGACTTAAAAACTCTCCAGATTATAAAATTGGAGCAAAAACAGTGACTTTGAGCAAGGATGCGCTCTCTGTATCAAAGGCAGTTTCTTAGTGCGACTTTGTGCGACTTTGTTATAGAGGGCTGTCACAGTTTACCCCACTTGTCATGTAACTTGACATCAATAAATTATGTGGCTGCTGACAGTCGAGCATGATCAGCCTGTCAGGAGTCTACCTCTCATGTTTAGCGTCACCTGTTAATGCTTTGTTAGACAGCCAGAAAGTGTGCTTTTCATTTGATCGAGTTGGTAAAGAATTCCCTGCTTGTGTACTCCAAAATATCGCCACGCAGTGTCCTCTCTGAACACATGAGGTTACTTATAGCCGAGCTGCATTGCAGCTGCAAATCGCTCATTATTTGATCTGTATGAAGCCGGGATTAAAGTCCTCTGGACATTTTACATCTTATTGTCTCTGCCGGGCTTCCTCACCACTACAGCTGCTCCCCACTTTCATTCAAGTTAGAGATCACATGAATTAATTGCACGGTGAACACTGTGTGACCCATTTTATGATGGAGCAGATGAACTGACAAGTGTAGGGTGTGTGTGTGTGTGTGTGGGGACGGGGACGGAGCTCCACTGCAACAGTAAAGGTTTTTCCGTGTATCATTCTGACATGTTGGGTTCACTTTTTAAAGGCTTGCAGCTTTGTGTGGCAGATTGTTGCCATCGTGTCATTTTAACGACCTCGTGCAGAGATCTAGAGGAAGCTGCCTAGATTCTTTAAGCCATCATTTATTCATATTTACATGCAATTCATGCTGGAAATATTCGGACAGTCGCACGGTGTTTGTAATTTTGCAGCCATCGCAATAGATTTTAGCAGCCCGAAAGTTTATGAAGGAAGATGATTCTTAGTAAATCTCCCGATCTCAGTCCAGTGGAGCATTACTGAGGGAGGAAAGGAAGACTCCAGGCAGAAGGGCATTTCCTGCACTCACTTATAAACATTAACATTTTATTTCGATCGTGTTTTTGAATTTAAACTGAAAGTGAGGTGTTCAGTTTCAGCTTAATTGATACTTTACACATTTTTTGTGGTGGCATACGGAGCTCAAATTGTGCCAGTGTCCAAACACAAACTGTTTCTGCTGTTCATTCCCTTAAAAAAAAAAAAAAAAAAAAAAGGTCGAGCTTCAGACATTTCAGAAAAACTGTCCTGAAATCCTGACTTGCAGAAATGATGTCCTTCAGATTTTCTGTTTTTAAAAGTCTATCAGCTAATCTTCACTTTTTGCAAACATCAATGGTATTTGAAAATACTACTGGGTGATTGAGCCATACTATAATATTCTGATGCTGTATTATGAAACCTGGCTGTGTTATTATCGATAACATGCATTCTCTGCAACTGAATATCAGTTTCTGACCCGAGGATTGAAAGATCATTTTTAACTTTTATAGTAAAAACACCAAGAGCTTAAACCAAAGCCGATGGCAAAGTGTGGCTTAAAAACTTTTAAATAGGAGAATAGTTTACACATTTAATCAAGGACATTTATTGGGGGAAACAAAGCCACCGCTTTGACGCAGAGCGGGATATTAAATTGTGAGGAAAGAGCTCTTTTACATCCTCGCTCTTAAGCTAATCACTCTGTCTTCATAGAAAGTGTTTCTTCCTTTTTGGCCCCTCTTTCTTCCCTTCCATCTCCCTTCCTCTGAGATCAGAGCTCGCGGGCATCCGGAGGGGGTTTTATTTTCTTTTTCTGTCTCTTTTTTTTATATTGGACTTCAGCCTTTCAGTCTCTTCTTTTGAGGATTTTGCACAGAGTTGTGGGTTTAATCTGAGCAGCTGTGAAAAGAGGAAAAGTGGAGGGGAGAGGAAAATCGAAAAGAAGAAGAAGGAGGAAAAAAAAAAAGAGCGAGTGGGTAGAAATGAAGCCAGTGAGGGATGAAAGGGTGAGGTGGTGAAGAAAAACAAGGGTGTGGTTGATGTAAAGAGCGAGAGATGCTGGAAGGAGAGGAGGGATGTGACAGACAGAGAGAGAGAAAGGTGAAAGGGGTGTGGTCGTGATAGAGAGAGCGAAAAGAAAGGAGTGAGGAGAGGCGGGGCTGAAGCAATGGAAAGACGAGTGGACCGGGAGGGAAATGGAAGGGAGTTGGTGGTGGGTGGGGAACGAGTGGAAAAACATGGAGTCAGCTGATGGCTCCCAGTTTCCATGGCAACGCTTGGCCTTTCCCACCCACTCTCTTTCTCTCTCTTTCTCCTGTCTCGTTCTGTGCCTCACCCACTCCCTCACTTCTTTCACACTTCATTTTCTTTTCAGTTTTTTTCCCTTTTTTTTAAAGACCGTCTCAGTATAATCACGTTACAGCCCAGCTTCCCTTCGCCCATCTCCTCTCTTTTTTTTTGTCCTACCTTCTCATCTTCTCTCTCCTTTCTTTTTCCTATTTGCCTATAAAGTGCTCCTTAAATCCCTCCTCACCTAAGCCGAGTTTCACGCAGGTGCGGCATGTTCCGTTCCTTTCCTTTCCTTTCCTTTCCTTTCCTTTCCTTTCCTTTCCTTTCCTTTCCTTTCCTTTCCTTTCCTCGCTCATTACTTTGTTTTGTTTTTTTTGCTTGTTCAAGCCCACTGCATTAGACCACAGTGTAGAAGGTGAGCATTGATATGGATTAACCATTGCAAATCGTATCTACAAACAAAAATCAAGACGCTAATCTATTTTAAATCTTCACGTGTCCTGTAATGCTGTGAAAAGGGGGAAAAAGCAGAACAACAGGTTTGCTCTGTTGTAACTCTGGCTATTTGGACATGACGCTCACCGACAGGGGAAAGTTGTTTACCACTTATATTTGTGCCGATGCCACTGCCACAGCCTCCAGCTGAACTGTGTGACCCGATAAAAGGGCGTAGCAGAGTCTCCACCCTCTCCTCCTCACCCAGAGCCAAACCGTGCTCAGCTGAACTGGACGGAGGCCAACTCCCGGACTGGAGGCTCGCTGCTGCTCCCTCTCGCTCCAGTTCTCCCGTGTCTCTTTCACTCTTCCTGTGTCTTTCTTTTTTTTTTTTTTTTTAACTCTCTCCCTCTCACACAGTACCAGTCTCTCTCTGTACCCATGCAGCCCTTCACTCTCTTCTGTCTCCCTCACTTTCTCCTCCGCCCCCCCACCCAGTGTACCACACTGCAGCCATTGTTCCCTGTGCTTTCGAGCTGCATGGCAGCCGAGTCCTGGCTTGCTGTAGATGCAAAGGGACAATATGAAAAACCACAATGCCTGTTATAAGAAAGCATTTTCCTTTGCATGAAGCATTTCTTCAAAGCAAACCTTAACCAATCGCTGTCTGTCTTCATTCACTGAAGAATGAGGTCAGGCCATGAAAGATGTATGCCCAAAGGGTTGAGGAGGTTGCAGAAGCATCTCTCATTCCATAATTTTCTTTTAATTATATTTTAAATTCTTCTCCTATGGCTGACACGTCTGACTACTACAGTACCCACGAGTCTCAGCATCATTCGTTATGTATCAAGCCTGTGATAAAAGTATACCATCATATTTCCTAATATGATCCTGGCATTGCGTTTGAATCGGAGAATGAATTGTTCTACTCTTGTGAATATTGATGAAAGTGCACACTTTGGTTTTTCCTGGTGAAATTTGTTGAATGTTTTACACAAAAATTGATAGCATTTATTATTTGAGTTATTTGTTATTTGCACATTGGATGATGGTCCTGATGACAACCAGCAGTGTTTCTCTTCCATCCTGCCCAGTATTTTACACCTTATCTGCTCACAAATATATGCATTAATGGTGTTCTTTGCCATGACCATGTAACACACAGAGTGACTGCAAAGCAGAGAGAGATACAAAGATTCAAGGTCACCTGTTGTATTCATAACCAGCGCTGTATTTGCATGGACTCTAGTAGAGTAGCTTTGCATGATTCGATTCAGAATAATCTCCAGTAATCTTACAGCTTGATGGGCCTTGATGTAGCCACTGCCTCAGTTCTCTCTTTCAGGCTCTTAAGCTACTTGTTTTTGATTTTTGCCCCAAACAACAGTAAAAATGAGCATCTACCATTGTATCAGTGTGTAATATTAGGTCCCTGTTTAACTACTGTTTCCTCTGCTGTTGTGTTCATTACTGTGGGTTGTTTGGCTCCTGCTGACTTTTTAAACAATAAACCAGCATGCATTAGCATTTTTCTTTTTTGGCATGCTACACATAACTATGATTACTGCTTCTAATTAATATATCAGATCGCTCTCCTTTGAGAATAAAAATCTAATTATGTTGAGGATATAAGTTGCCAGGTTTAGAGTAAAATCTGGAATAAAACCAGTCAACTTTAGTTTGCTGAAGCTGAGTTATCGCTTTGTCCTTTTCTTTCTAACCTTTTCTTATATCTTCTTGTCCACCGTGTTCTCTCTAGCAGGCAGATATAGGTGATGACGGCTCACAGCCGAAAGACCTGAAGGTGAAGAAGGAGTGCAAGACAGAGCCCTCCTCGCCTCATCCGAGCCCCACTGAGGACCAGACTGAGCCCGTTGACCTTTCGCTCAACAAACCTCGCTCCGCTTCGACAACGAGCACCACAGTCAACCCAGCTCCCAGCAGCGCTGTGACCCAGCCCAGCCTGTCAGCCACACCTGTCCCCTCTGCGGTGCAATCGATAGGCTCCATGGTAACTATAAACTCCTACCTTTAGAAGTGTAAGGCGCGGTAGAGTTACAACCATTCATTTTCATCGCTTCTTTTCTCTCCAGGTCCTCTCTCCAGGATCCATCTTAGCCACGCAGGGCGCTGGAGGCCAGCAGATTCTCCACGTTATCCATACAATCCCCTCAGTGACCATGCCCAGCAAGGTGGGTCAGCTGCAGACCATCCCTGTGGTGGTGCAGTCGCTGCCTGTTGTCTACACCACCATGCCTACTGACGGTGTTGCCACAGCAGCCATTACGGTGCCGCTGATAGGCAGTGATGGGCGCTCCGAAGGATCTGGTGAGTGTACAGTCATAAGCTCCAAGGGGGCAACACCAGTGCAGTATAGCTTCTGCTTTCAGCAACAATTGTCTGTTTCATATAGACCACTTTCAGTCTTCAGTTGCCTAAATATCCAGACTTTGTAATAAATAAGATCACAGGGTTTATGAATACAGTATATCAGTCAACATGAGTTCGCTCATTGATAGCTCTGTGTGATAATGTCAGCTGACAGGGTTTGCTAATGTTTGCACTTGTCGTTTGGCTTAGTTAGCAAGGTGCATCTGCAATCACTGCAACATGCATTTCCACTGCATTAAACGTCGTGCCTTAAAACAATATATACATTCGAAAGTGCAGCTGGATGAGGAATAGAAACCAAACTTGAACCTATAGGCTGGAGTCGAGGGGAGTTCACTCCGTTTCGGAGGCAGGCTCAAGGGGACATTAGAGGAACTGCAGTTTTTGGTTAGGCTTCTTTTTTTAACCCCATATTCACTGTTCTTGGGTTGGATAGACTGGTTGGTCTAACCAGTCAGGAGCCAGTGATGTAGTTCAACATGAGGCAATAACCAGCCTGCATAGCCCGTGTTGATCTAACACAGGTTTGGTGCAATCTTGGAGATTTTGTTTTCTTGCTCTTGCAAAAGAAACATGACATCACCTTTCTTAACATTAAAATAAAACTTGGCTTTGCATACTCAAATTTAGCACCGTGCTAAATATTGGCCAATGGATTCTACTGGATCTAAGAGTTTTATGTTGGTTTTTTTGTGTTTGTTTTTTAAGGAGTTGTACAGTCATGAAGCAAAGGTTGAGTTCTTACATGAAACCACACAAATAACCTCTGAATCCAGGATATTATTTAAAGGTGCAGTCTCAGAAACTTAGAATTAAACCTTTAAGAATACAAAGGAGCAGGCACTGCTTTGTAGAGCCACCATGTTGACTTGCCATCTTGATTTACATCCCTCCACCTCCCTCCACTAAGATAAGGATCATACCTATTTTTTTATCAGCCCTTCACCAAGTAAGTGAAAGGAAATTTGAAAACTGCAAAAACTGCAATAATTCTGTTATTAATGCTTGTAGTTTTGCATTTTGGCTGTTATGAGAAGCAGACTAAATCATGCATTTAAATGGAGGTAGGAAGATGTTTTACTTTGCAGTGACAGAGCATTTTAGAACCTCTTTCTTTCTTTAATGTGCCATGTTGAAACAGGATGTTAAGAAGGAACGTGGCACCGCGAATGTTTATTTAATATGTCGCAATATCTGTAATGAAAATACTTGTAATTTGAGATGAGCGGTAGACCTCTCCTCTTTAATGTCAGTCTTCCTCTTTTGACTGTCACGCCTGGCGTTGCATGGTTCTGTCACCGCTGCTTAAACTGTCATTTATGGAGGTGGGGGGGGGATCTCAGTCTCCGTGGAACACAGCGTTTCTCCCAAAGGAGCTGGTGTCTGTTTGTGGTTGGTGATATGTTTGATTTGCCTTCTGTCTGCCTGTCTATCTTTGTCATTCTGGAAATTCTCCATATGTGCCAGATGATTGATGGCGTCGTCTAAATGTGGAAAACTGCAGAGAGAATTGTTACATATGTTGCAGAAAAGTGGCTAAAATTTTTCAGTGAGCCTCTGAGCAGCTGATTTTCTCATATTCTGTAATGTAAAAAGCCAAGAATGCCCCACGTGTGCTAAAATAGTCATGTACAAGCTGACTACTTAGCATTTGTCTGGACTCTTATTAGTCAGCAGTGTCTTAACCTCCCAAGTGTTCCTGTCGGTTTTCACTAAACAACAGCAAATGTCTGTCAATCCCTGTGTCCACACGACCGGACGCTCGACATTTGCCCAGGCAAGCAGGCAAAATAGACCTCCGCCCCTTTAACTGCAGTCGAGTCCCTGGGCAAAGTCGGCAGAGTTCACCTGGACTCTGATTCACAACAACACAGTCTGGACTGAGGAATGTAAACGAGGCAGGCGGTGAATCTCAGAAGAGTCTGCAGCACACAGACTGGCCTGAAGATGCTCTCAGACTGTTACTCATCCATGCCAGGAGCTGTTGTGTGTTTGTGTTTTGATTAACGTTTTTGACCTTTTCCCAGTTTGTCTCAAACCCCTTTTAGAAAATACAAAATACCCAATACATTAAGTAATATGACCGTAAATGCTCTAGCAATGTTAAAAGATAAGATTGATGTTTATTTTTTAATTAGCGTTTAATCAGCATTTATTTATTTATATTTGTTCTAATCTCTGTGTTTGTTTTTGTTTGCACGAAGCACCTCGCGTCTGCAACAGCAGCAGTTTCATGACTGAAGGCAACTACTTTGTTTGTTATTTGCGGCGTCAGTCAAGCAACAGGCAGAAAGTTAAACACGAGGCACGCCGAATGGCTGCTCGCTCGTTTGGGTTCTGAAGTGCAAACTCGTAGAGGAACGAGAAAGAAAGTACAGATAGACACAAGTCAGGAGGAAATGAAACATAGTACAATAAACTGAAGTATACTGTAAACAAATGAAGTGTGAGGGTAACTAAAGCTACACTGTGTTCAAATGGATTCAGAAAATACGAATAAATGATGATATGACATAAAAAAATGTGTACAAAAAAATGAATTCTACACAACAACTTAGGTTACTTTTAATAAACAAATCAGTACTTACCATTATATGTTACATTGTTTTTAATCATTTAAATTTTTATTTAATATATTGAACAGTTATTGTTTTTGTTTAATATTGATTTCGGCAGCTTTGGTCCTCCGTACATACAGTATGTTACATAATTACAGGTCACATTGTGCTGACTTGCACAATATTATTGCACAGTAGACGGGAAATAGTTTTCTTTATGAACATAATACTAATTTAGGGCAGTATTGTGGCTCGGTGTCAGAGTGGTTAGCACTGTTGACGGATAGCAAGAAGGTCCTGGGTTTGAATCCGATCTGATGGGCTTGGGTTCTCTGCGAGTGCTCTGGCTTCCTTTCACAGTCCAAACACACGCAGTCAGTCGGGTGATTATTATAAAAGCATAAATGAGCCGACACACCTCTCAGAGTCCACGCTTTGTAAGCTTTGCCTGTAGACTCTATGCTCTCGTCACAGCATCCATCAAACACGTATCTTACTGTCGCTCTGCTAAGACACGCATTGTTTACTTGCTCGCACAGAAAGCTGTTGTGTAGTGGATGGGGATCACAGGGCTGGAGGGCAGAAGCGGAGAGTAAAAAAGTTAAAGTTCAATGAATGTTTTTCTGAAGTTTTCTTATGTTTTTTGCTTGATGCTCAATAGTAACCAGTCATCCTCCTCTGGTTAAAAGATGTAGTTTTGTTGTTTTGTATTTATGTGTCTAGCTTTGTTGATTTTTACGTCCTGTTTGGTGTCTTCGTGGGGAGTTTTTGATGCTGCACACAGCAAACTTCAGAAACTCAGGATGTATCTATATTTGAAATTCCAGCCTGAGGGCTGTCATATGTATGCTTACTGCTATTGAAGGTAACCGTGATAGTTGTTTTGGTTCTGATATTGACTCTCTCTACATCTGCCTTTATTCCTATTTTGAGCTAAATTCATTTGCCAAGAAGAGACAAGACGCACCTTACTGATAACATTTTTCTTTTTTTCTTTTTTTTTGGTTGGTTGTTTTTTTTTCCAAAGAGTCTTTGTTTAAACTTCTTTTAAACGGGTACAGAAATTCTAATATTGTGACAGCCCCTCCAAAAATTAGATATAGGGTTAGCCTAAGGGGTTTGGGGTTGGAGAAGTATTATTTCAGTCCACCCCTGCTCCTTTATTACCTTTCTATTAGATCAAGTAGAACAGAATTCAGTGAAGTAATAACAAGCCCTTTTGTAATTTTTGCTGCCATTGTAACAAAGCTGCTGGTTTGGTGACAGCACAATATCTGATATCCTTTTTCTTTGATTCGTTGTCCTTTAAAAACCGCGATAACTGGGCACGTAAATCCTAACCTCTTGGAAAATGATGTAAATTCAGTGCACATGCCGCGTGCCAGTAGATCAAACTAATTAGTCATTATGAAGGCCCTCTTTCTCTCCAAATAAACTGCCCACCTCTCCATAACTCATTGCCTATCTGTTTACAATTGGTATTCCTGTCAGTGAGTAATGTGCTGACATAACATCATGTTTCATGTTGACTTGCAGTCTTTCTGTATTGAAGATTAACTTTAGATCAGGCTTGTTTCTGCAGTGCTGCCCTGGTTGCCACACCTAACAGTGATGCTGCGGTGAAATTACTTAACCTGGTGATCTATATGTCTGTCTGGGGTCAGAGTTTTATTTTGTGATTTGATTGTACTTTTCATTTGACTTCAGTAAAGGAGCAAAAGCACTTTAACGACAGGTTAAGATGCAAGATACTGAGGCAACACTGAGGACTGTGTAATTCACACAATATGATGTACTTAAAACTAGAAATGATCTCAAATGTTGGTAGTATGAAATGTAGGGCGACCGTGGCTCAGGCAAGCGCATCTGTAACCGGAAGGTCGCCGGTTCGATCCCCAGGCTCTCTGTCCTGGTTGTTGTGTCCTTGGGCAAGACACTTTACCCTACCGCCTACTGGTGTTGGCAGAGGGGCCGATGGCGCGATATGGCAGCCTCGCTTCTGTCAGTCTGCCCCAGGGCAGCTGTGGCTACAACTGTAGCTGCCTCCACCAGTGTGTGAATGAATAGAGATTGACAGACCACGTGACATTCGCGCATTGCATGCCGGGAACTCGTGGCAAAACAATCCAAGTACCGCATCAAATGCAAGCATTTGCAGCACCGCAAAACGTTCATTCTCCGGTTCCAATAAATTCTTGCTTTTTCTTTGCCCCCCAAAAAGGTATGTACAAAACGAAGGAGAACAATGCCGGTCCGTACAAAGACAGACTTGATGAAAAGTCAAAGAAAAGATACGAGGAAAAAAATCAAAGGAGTGAAAGGGTCAGACCCTTACGAGCACACAGAGGGACAAAATACGTTAGCGTGCTGCCCAACTTTCACCACGCTCATATTTATAATTATACGGTTCTTGGAGTGAGTGCATACACTCGTGAAGTTTAGTAACTTCAGGTCACTGCAACAAGCCCAGGTACAGTTTACCGACGGATGGGTACAGGACCTTGAAATGCACCGTGTAGAACGAAAGACCATCGTACCGTATCATAAGTTTACCAGTCTCACAAATCGTCTTCATAAATACACATTCGTTAACCGTTTATTAATAGGACCTTTGAGCTCAACGGTAATTAATTAGTAGTGGAAATAATTTCTGGTACGCATACAGAAATGTAGCAGTGACAATAATATTGTATGCTGTAATCGTACTGGGCAATTAGTGATACAAAACAACTGTTTTATCCTGTGAATAAAAGTATATGTTTTTGTCAATGTACCATAATAACAGAAGCGAAACGCAATATTGTGTCAGGACAATTCACTATTTATGCACAATAAACAAAGGAGCATAGCGCGACAATTTCTGTTCAGCGCCAGACTTGCTTGTAACCTATATCACCAATTATGTTATAAAAATGACGCATTAACTACAACAAAACACTGACCTTTGTGTAAATGCTTGGAGCAGACTAACCTGTGAGCTGGAGTGTTCTGGGACGTTATATTTGGTCTTTGAATGGCTGCAATCCAGTCGCCTCTTTGTTACTTCGGAAACATGGCTCGAACAATTTCTCTTCAACGACGTAATCCGATAACAACCGATCTCTTTACCCGTCGGCTTCCCGTGGCTGTCATGCGACCGGCTATTGCAGTTAATAATACAACAGCTTCTTGCCATTTTTGTGTTTCTTTTTATCGCTGTGTAACTGATTTCAATTGAAAGCCTGCGTGCGCTAGTACCTCTTGCCACGAGTTCCCAGAATTCTTTGCGGTTTTACCCCTGATGACGTCACATTTTCAATCTCTATAGTGGAATTGTAAAGTGCTTTGGGTGCCTTGAAAAGCGCTATATAAATGCAATCCATTATTATTATTATTAGAGATATTTGTGGTTGGTCTGTTAATTCTTTGGTGTAACAATGCTTCTTGACAATAAGTCTTATAATGTTGGAAAGCCATTCATATCTGTTTTAACGGTGTCACATTTAAAATGGGTTGAGCAGGAAAGTTGAGTATGTGAGTTACGCTCATACATCCTTTTCTTCAACTAGCATTGCCACAAGTCAGCCAGTGTGGTTGTGTTGGCAGCAGAATAAGACGATTGGCAAGGGCAGAGAAGATTTGGCTAGTTTTTCATGGATGCAGCGCACATACTCTCAACTCTGCTGCTCAACCCACAAATACATGTTCTTTAGAAATAAACAAGCTTTTCAATGGTATAAGATTCATTGCCAAAAAACATTGTTACAGCAAGGTAAAGACCCTACAATAATACAGAGAAAAGCCAACAATCACATGACCCCCCCTATGAGCAAGCATAGTGCTTGCACAAATGCAGAGTGGTGTATAAACAGATGGTGAGTGAAAAAGGTTAGTGGAGAAGGAACACTCAATGCCTTCTATGCCTATTGCAGTGTAACTAACGCAGGATTCGGCGTTACCTGATCCAGCCCTAACTACAACAGCCGTAACAGAGGAGGGGCCTGGAAGTTGAAGGCTCTGCCTCCCATTATACTTTTCCTAGGAACTACAAGTAAACCTGCAGTCTGAGAACAAAGTGCTCTATTAGGGCGATATGGTCCTATGAGGTCTTTCAGATAAGCCTGATTATTCAGGACCTTATATGTGAGTAGAAGGAGATATGTGTAAATTGGACTCTGGATTAAACAGGGAGCTGATGAAAAGAAGCCAATATGGGGCAAAAAAAGCTCTCTCTCTCATTTTAATCCCTGCTTTGATGGTGTTGATGGAGCAGTTTCCAGTTAACAGTTTGTTCACTGCTCAAAACATCCTCTAAACAATCTAAAGTCATCAATCAAGTGAGCGAGTGAGTGGATAACTGAAGTCGTAGTTATACTGTAAACCTGTTTTCTGTGTACGTTTCACATCCCTGCGCTGAGAGGAAACAAAGAGCGTAGTTGTGAGCACGACGAGGGGAGCGAGCAGACAACATGGAAACTTGGATTTCTTTTTTTTTTCTTCTCCCATGCGAAGCGAACGAGCAGCAGACAGCTGACATTGGCAGCTCACGCGCCGAGTCGTCGAGTGGGAGGAAAAGGAGAAGGAGGCTAGATAGGTGGGCGCACAGTGAAGGCAGCGAGGTGAGGCGGAGAGGTGGTGGTAGGGGGGAGGAGGGGGCGGTCGGGTGAGGAAGCACGATGAGGGTCAAAAGGAGAGGAGATGGGTCGTTCTGCCTTTGAAAGAGGAAGGCAGCAGAGGAGGGTGGGGGTGGCTTTATTGTCTCCAGAGACAAAGAGCACCACTTTTTTTTTTTCTTTTTTGGTGCATGACCCTCCCCACACCACCACTGCCACACACACACATTCATACAGATATATATACACACTCCACCCAAATTCCTTGCGTCACCCTTCCAACCACCCCACCCCTTCTTGCTCTCTCCGGGCTGGGTGGACTTTGAACAGTGTGGCTGCCACATTCCTGCACAAAGAGGAGGAGGAGGAGGAGAAGGGGGGGCGCTTTGAGATCTAACAATTAATCGACCTGGCCTGATTTCATTGAAGGTGCATTAAAAATCAAAATCATACATATATAAAGTTCTCTGTGTCCAGTCTGGTGGCGTTTAGGTAGCATCTGGTCTCTTGTAAAGCTTTGTTTTTCTTTTTAGGCCATGAAACTAACACATCAGATAACAAGAAACTGCAATAATCTCCTTTTATACAATGACTTTTCTGATGTGGCGGTGTGACGAGGCCATCCTCCCTTTACATATTAGCTGATGAGGACATGAATTTACACTTCCAGAGCCAAACGAGCAGCTGGAAATGTCTTGAGAGTGGTTAACTCTCCGTAATCAAGAATTCAAAAGCAGGACCTTCGGTTTAAAATCTAAACGTCTTCCTTCCTTTTGTGAGAATTTCGAACAGCTTGCCAATCCTCGAGGACGCGCGCCGAAGCTTTCCGATAGCTCTGGGAAATTTGTCTTTCACTTAATTGCTAATTAGCATTGTCTGTGAGTTCAGCTTTTTTTTCTTCCCATTAACAGCTGTTCACATCATCTTCCTCCTGCTGTGACATTGTAAAAGGTTGTTGAAACTGAAAGTAAAAGACAACCACTGGAAGATGCTTCTTTTAATAGAAACTGGAGGCTAAAACAGGCATTTTGAGAAAGATGGAGAAAACAAGCAGACATGCAGAGGAATCCAGCGTGGGGTTTGGCCTCAGATTTGATCCATTTTGCAGCCATGCAGACCACACCTAATCCTACACACACACTTGGAGCAAGCCTTTGTCTTGCTAAGTTGCTGGAAACCAGACATTGCTGTTAAGAAGTTATTAACCCCCTGCTGTTCTATTCTCTCCGTTTCCACCCCCTACCCCCAACTTCTTTTTTTTCCTCCTCCCTCTCAATTCCATGGCCCCACAATTTTCCTTCATCTGTTTCTACCACTCTATGTCCTTCTATTCACTCTTTACACCCATCTTCCTTTCATCCTTTCCTCCCCGCAGTTCGGATCAAGCCAGGTTCAACATCTCCAGTGGAATATCAAAGTGAAAGCGATGCAGAGAGCGGTACAGAGTCTGGATCGGCTTCCATCAGCGCCCAGAGCCTTGATGCGGGGTGAGTCTTCGATGCAGATGGACGCATCAAGCACAATGTATTTAGCCACACCTGTAAAATCTTACGTGCAATCAATAAATATAAAAAAAATGAAAGATGCATTCATGAAATGTTGAATGCAGGTCTTCAGACACAGTCACCCTGGTGCCCCATTATTTGGAAATGCTCAGAGCCCAGTATGAACGATTATATTTTCTAGATCTAAGGTTTCATAAGCTGATAACCATAACAATGAGCAATTAAGGATACAAAACTAGATATCAGCAGCAATTAAAATGTGATGCATTGACAGGAAAGTGGAGATAGCTCAGGGATCCTGACAGTACGCTTAAGAGTGCAGCCAACATTTTGTCTTTAACAATAAGCCAGTCAAAGCCCTGAGTTCTCCTCTAGCGAGTGGAGAGCTTGTACTTGAGAAAGGAAGTAGAGCATATTGAAATGTTATTGAATGGCCATAGTTTCAGTTCAGAACAGGAAATGGTTATCTCGCATGTTAAAGTCCAGTGGGTTTCTTTTTTTGACCCCTCCGTCCACCCCAACCTCCTTCCTGCACGGTCTCTTCGCCTCTTCATCACGTTGCTTGTGCAAGTTATAAGTTGCATAATAAATAAGGTTTATTGTGGTTTCACACCTTTATCAAGTGACAGAAAACCTGGTATGCAGACTGTTGCAGACCCAGTTCTTTATTGTGAAGTGCCACTAGGGGGCAGTGTCAGATGTTTGGTACAAGGAGAAGTATTTTAGATTTGTGCTCTCGATGGTTCTTTTCTGTAGCCTGACGCTGCGATGAAAGTAGAAGTCATAACAGACAAAGAAGTTCTTTGTAGTGAATTGTGAAGCTAGATTGTTGGCTCCGTGCAGGTGACTCTCCATAGCCTCTCTTTGCATAGACATAGGGTCCCTCAAATGGGCAGCAACATAGGTCTTTAAAACCTGCATAAGTCTTGATCTCCTGGTGGCAAGTTGAAGTACTGCAGCAGAAAAAAATTGTGACAGAAAAGCACTTTTTGGAGACGCCAACTGTAAATCAGATGTCTGCAAAACTGTCGGAAAGGCATAAATCCATGTGTAATGACTGCTGATAATAGGACTCGGCAGGGTCAGCAAGAGGGACTCTAATGCACAGCAGGGTTTATGGGAAATTCTTTCTCTGTGTGGGGGTCACCTCCCTCGCCTGCAGGCTCCTGACTAATTACATTACTGCAGCACTGCCATGACTGGATGCTTATATAACCTTATATAACCCTCTGTACAGCAGAACACACTGGAGACGCCCAGACTGTAACACAGGAAGACAAGTGGGCGCATGTGTGCGTCGCGAGCGCTCTATAGACATAAATTAGGACATTTAGCCCTCCAGAGGAAAGCGCGGACACGTGAAAGATTGTTTTATATCGCAGGGTAAAGGGTGGTGTGCCGCTGGAGACTGTGTTTATTAGAGAATCAGGACGTAGCTCCGGCCACACCCAGTGGGCGAGGCTGCCTGACTAACTGAAATTCAGGGTGTGGGCGTTGACAGTTTGCTCAGCGCCCTTATCTAGTGTGTGTGTGTGTGTGTGTGTGAGAGAGTGTGTGTGGGTGTGAGAGAGAGAAAGTGTGTTTCAGAGTACAAAAGTAGTCTGGTTGGATGTGTCTGTGTGTGTGCGTGTGTGTGTTGTGTGTGTTTTCTGTGTGTGTGTGTGTGTGTGTGTGTGTGTGTGTGTGTGTGTGTGTGTGTGTGTGTGTTGCAGGGCAGGGCTGTCCCAGAGCAGGGGCATAAACAAGCTTATGTAATGCAGTTCACCGTCACACCTCCTTGTAAAGAGGGACATCAGCGGTGTTATTTTTTTAGTCTTTTTGTTTCCAATCAAATGTATTTAAAGTTTGACTGCCTGTAAATATGAATATGATAATTCACACAGCTGATTCTTGGAAAACTGAAGCATCATTTAAGAGGAAGAAGTCAAAGGTAGAAAAAGGGCGACAAAGAGGAGTGCTGATGGGTTAATTTTGAGTTTATCTCATGGGTTTAAGGAAAGAAGGGAGTAAAAAATAAGTTTAAAGGTGAAACGATTCAAGACAAATGGAGGGAAGGGGAGGAATATCGAAATGGAGCTGTGTGACTTTCTGATGCCCCCTGGTGGCTAAATCGGTGTTAAGTTCTCCTGAACATGATGAGAGAAGAAGAAGCGTTTCTCAACAGAATCGTCCTTTTCCTCTTTCGGTGTCTCAGGTCGGTTATGGACTTGGAGCCCGTCGATCCAGATTCGCCAGACATCAAGAGGCGGCGGATCCACATGTGCGACTACGAAGGCTGCAAAAAAGTTTACACCAAGAGCTCCCACCTCAAAGCCCACAGGAGGATACACACAGGTGAGCTCGGCCCTAGAAACGCATCACAACAACGCCACAAAAAAATCAGTGCAGTCCAGGTGTTCTTTGAAAGGAGCAGTTCATCTCCAGGTGAAGACCAGAATCATTATTTACAGATTACTGCAGGGTGATCTTTAAGGATTAAAATGGCCCCTTTAGAGAATTTAATGTAACCTCCGGTGGCTCAACATTTGTCAGTGCACAGTTCACGTCTTATCTGCTCTCAGCAGACAGTAGTTTTCCCTAATCTGAAGGAGATTAGGGAAAAAGTGCCCAATGGTATTTTTTTTCAGACAGGTTTCCTGAGGTAAGACACTGTTAAGGTGTGTGTAGGAATGGTAAGCAGGATTTGGCTGTTTGAAGCTCCTGTGTTGAATATTATCTTAATTTTATTCTACAATCATACAGTGATTGACATGATTAGGTAGAGTAATTGTAGTAAATAACCTGTAGTAAATAAATTGTTTGCTCAATTTCGTCCACCATCGTCCTGACCCTCCTCTTCCTTCTTTAACCTCCTTCCCTGCCTCCTTCCTGCTAACTCCTCTCCTCGTCTCTTCCAGGAGAGAAGCCCTACCACTGTACCTGGGAAGGCTGCACCTGGCGCTTCGCCCGCTCCGACGAGCTGACCCGACACTTTCGCAAGCACACCGGAATCAAACCCTTCCGCTGCACCGAATGCGACCGCTCCTTCTCCCGGTCTGACCACCTCTCCCTGCACCGCCGCCGCCACGTGATGATGTGAACTCTGACTTCCTTCCTTCCTCTCCCCTGACGCCCCCAGCTCCCTATCAAACTGACCTCTGACCCTTTGATTTCTCAAAAGCCCCTCACAGCACATCTTGTACCAGTGCCCCCACACCTCACACGATACTTCCTGTTTCCTCTCTGCTCTCCTGCGGGATTTTAAACCCACCTTGCAAATAGAAAAAAAAGGACTTTACCTTCTCCTCCTCTTCCTCCTCATCTTCATCTCACAGTCATAGGACAATTGTGTCTGTGTGTTTGTTCGGTGGTGGCAGCAGGATGTTTTTTGCTGCGTGTGTGTGTGTCTGTCATCATTACCGTCCAGCCCAAAGCAGTCCTCTCTACCATCCTCCGACTCAGTCACACAAGATGTTGCCTCCTCAGAAAGAGAAAGGATGGACTGAAGGACATCCAGCAGCAGGGACTTTCATGCTTCCATCCATCTATTACATGCATCAGTCCATCCAAAAGGCAAAGAGGAAGAGGAGGGCTCACACAGATGTCACTTCAGCTGCTCTTTTCTTGATTTACAGTTTTTATTTTGTTCATATCCTGAGTTTGGAATCTACGTGACTCCAAAATTTATTTTCTTGGAAGCTAAAGAGACTTCCGAGGATGCCGCTTCCCGCCACTGCTTTTCCAGGAAAAGTTGTTTTTGAGAACTTTGAGTTTCGTTCCACCCCAGTTATATTTGCCTGAGGCAAATGTGATCTTACTGAGTGACCTTTTGATCAAATAATCAAATAACAGGTAAATAAATATAAAATACAGCATTACGCAAAAATGCTCCAGGTATCATTATAGCTCCTTAAATATTAAGTAGCTGTGACTTGGATGACGGTAAACTGCTTACAATTGCTGAATATTTGGACTGTCTTCGGATTTCAAAGTGGAGCGTAGAGAAGTGCAGTTCCTTGAGTTCTTTAGTTCCTGGTTCTGTTTGTAAAAGTAAAAGAACCAAAACTCATTTATCATAAATTCAGATGAGGTATTTACTTAACTGTGCATATCGGTGTGTGTGTGTGCGTGCGTGCGCTTATTTCATTGACAGCAGCTGAAGTGACGTCAGATGCATCAGCATGTCTGAGGCTAAAACACTGCGCCCCACCCTCCCATCGCCATTCGCCTCCTTCTGCCCTAAACCCCCGCCACCTCCCCCGGTACAGGGAGCTACAAGACTGTGAATTTAATAAAACTTCATTTGTTTTCATTGTATCGATCACGTGGTTGTTATCGCCCCGCCCCCTTCCCCGTCGCACACACCTTTCCGATTCCTCTTGAATAACAGTATTTGCTTTGTTTGCGCCGTCGTCGCTGTTGTTTTATCAGAAAAACACAAAAAAAGGCCTTTAGTCCTGTCTACATTTTTTCTTTTCTTTTTTGGTGTTCTAAACAAAATGTTGTTCTTTTGTTTTTTATTTAAAAAGAAAAAAAACTTTCAGATCTTTTTTTTGTCGTTGTTTTCTGAGGCTGTGAAAAAGACAGAGGAGACACAAATAGATTGAGAATACAAGTAAAACTCTCATGCAGGGAATAGGGGAGCTTTTCTGAGTGTGCGTGTGTGCGTGTCCGTGAGTTAGTGTGCATGTTTTGAGACAAACACATAATCAAGAATTTAAGATTTTTATGAGTGCGTTGTTCCGGGCACTTGTTGTTCTTTTACCTCTTGCCCGTCGAGCCTTAATAACCGAAGTCAATCTGTAAGGGCAAAACTAGAACGGCCGACAGACGACGACTGGCCACAGCGTTCGCTTTAGTTCAGTTGTTTAGTTTTTGAAGTTTAAATTGAAGGTGTTATGTGTGGAATTTGTTTCCGTATTTGGTGAGAAAAGTTTTTTAGGCTGAAAAAAACATGCTTGCTGATTTTCAAGCCTTTTAAAATAGAAATTTTAACATTTATTTTAACAGTGTCACCAAAGTGAGTTGAACCTAAAGCATTTCAAAGTTTTAACAAATCAGATGGTTTGAGAATTTCCAGCTTTTGCTCATCAGACTCTGTCGAGACTGTTCTTTTTTAATATAATTAAATGGTTTTGTAACCTTGCATCGTTATGAGAGGAAGAAGACTGATAACGGAGTGGTGAAGGTCGTCTGTCGGTGGTTCTGGGAGAAATCGGGCGTCTCGTAGGGCTGTCGGGGTCCAGGCGCCTGGGGTTTAAACCACGGGGAAACTTAAGCGCTCTCCTCACTAGCATTTCTACCAGGGTGGGGGTCAATTCACTCCGGTTTGTTTTTAATGGCAATAGAATCTCAGTTAAAAGCCTCGAGTAGATACTAACAGATGAATCGTGTCTCGAATTGGGTTCTTTTTGGAGCAGAATCGACCCCCGCCTCACCCTGGTTCCTTACCCACAGTGTCCATGTCTTAAGTGGGCTGGTTTTCAGCTCCCGATCCGGGCTGAACTTGATTATGCAACATAACGCAGACGCAGCTCCAAGCGCTGTTCTGATCTCAGTCCTTGAGCACTAGCTGGTAGTTGGGTTCCTGATAAGCAGCTCACGTAGGGTTGTTGCAGGAACCTTAAGAGGAAGGTCAGGTTTGTGTAGAGGCCTGCGCTGTTGATCACTACTCTGTGTTGGTATATAAGACTTAAGGTGTGGAAACACATCCATAATTTCAAACAGACTTGGTAATGAGCGAGTGGGGAGCTGGGGTTGTGATGGACGGAGCAGGCTTTTCTCATCCTGGCTCGTCTCTTTTCAAGCAACAACCCCCCCCCCAATAAAAAACGGCCACACACATTTTGCTTTGAATTCGTTCTCGCCATTTACAGTCGTCTTTGTCATCATTTCAGAAGCTAGTAAGTGAGAGCAAAATGTTTTACATCTTGACTTTTCACATTGCGATAAATGAGATGGACATGCAGGCTTGCTGTGAGCTGAGCGCATGCCGTGAAGAGGGCAGATTTGTTGCGTGGTCTCCGCGCTGCGAAACCGAAGAGAATCCGTCTTAGCCGAGTCACTGAATATGGTTTAAAAATGAGGGAATCTGTTCCTGTCTTCCCATTTCCCATCAGGAGAAGCATTACTTAGAATTCAGTCACTCGCTTGGAAGGATTTTAGTGGTTTATTTGTTATGTTTTTGCAGCGCAGAGCAATGCAATGTTCCCATTTCTCTTAACATCCCCTGCTTCAAGTAAAAAAACAAAAAAAGAAGTTACTAAGCACATCTTTCTAGAAGAGTATATGCATTTGATTGCAATTTTCTTTCTTTTGTAAACTGTTGATAAAGACATTAAGGACAATGACAAATAATTAAGAGAAATCCGTGTACATAAATGTATATAATCAAAGTGCAGAGTAAATGTAACGGGTGAATTTCTATTTTTAACACTGACTAGATAATGTGAAAAATCTTTTTTTTTCTCTCTTCTTCCTCTGTTGGTTTGATGAAATGTGTTTTTCATCATGTGTATTTTTTTTTTCAATCTAATACATTTGTTTCGTAGTTTCTTAAAAAAAGAACAATTATATGGTCCCACTTGTGTTGTGCACATTTGTGTTGCATGGAGAGTAGCCTTCTTGTTTTCTTATAGTGACGTTGGTGAGCATGTCAAGTGCGTGTGAGACCGTTGAGATGCCCCAGCAGGGGTGGGGGTGGGAAACGACCCCCTACTCAACTAACTAGGGATTCATTATAACAACCGAGCTTAATGTCCCAGTACTGGACCTGGTTTTAAATGTCAAGTTAAATGTGAGATTCAGTTGGTTTGGGTCAGACCCATTTTTTCCTCCTTCAGCTTCAGGTGTGTTCTGCTCAGATAAGTTAACAGGAAGTAAGAGGAAGTCCCCAGATTTACAGTAGCCAGTTTAAATGTGTTGATATGTTTCTCCTTTTTAAAATCGATGTTGAAATCCAAGCAGCAAAAACATTATTCATGTTAGATCAGTCAAGTGCTGCACTGAATAAAAGGTTCTTTTAAAGATACCTAATTGAAGTACAAAAACAAAACACAGAGCCACTGATTCACTTGTTATCGGACCAGATGTCGTATACCTTATCTGTTTCTGGGGCTTCCTGGCTCCACGTCGTTACAGTTGAGGTGCGTGGACGTTTCTTTGTGGTGCTAACAGGAAATGGGGTTCTGGTTTTTCCAGCACATTCAGTTTTATCTCTCCATCGGCCTCGTGTCTGTTTCGGAGATTGCTTTCGATTTTTTTGTTGTATGTGAATGGAATTGTTGATCTTTCCTCGACCACACACACTAACTGCTCGGCACTGACCTCGTTTATCGTTTAAATGTCATCTTTATGACTAATTAGTGGACGAGGTCAGGAATGAATGAACGTTTAGTAGAAATCCAGCGAAATCTCAAGACCTCCAAATACAGCTTCTTGTCTCCTTTTAGCACCACGAATGAAACCTTCCCTCTCACATATCTCAAATATATCGTAACAGAGGCAGAAGTCCCAAAGATTAATGCATTAAAAAGTACCCCTGAATGCTAAGCCCCTTTATTTCTGGGAATGTTAACCCCACAGAGCACATGTGCTCTGTGTCATTTAGTATCTGCTATAGGCCCTTTTGCTTTACAAGCACACTGATCAGCTCAGTTGGTATATTTGCACACCGAGACAAACTCACACACGCACTGAAACCTCTGGAGACACACCGACGATGGTCGGTTAAACATCCGAGCCTGTTGACGACACCCTGGGCAGGATATTTTCGCTGGTGTCGGAGCTTTGGCAGGGAGACTGATGCATGTGTACATTTATCTCCTGCTTCTTGTTGGTTTGTGCAAGCTTGTTTTTCCTCAGTATTCCTCTTTTTTTCCCGTTTCCTCCCCTTTTTGTTCTTGTATAAAAGCAGGATTGTGAAAAAAAGAACCATAAAGACAGAGTTTTATCCCTGCTGAAACCGTAACGGGATCGAGTTTGTGTCTGAGGGTGACGTCACGTCTGTGCGCGAGTGCCTCGACTCACCACGAATCACATCTTCTGCAAATCTGGAACTTTTAGGTATTTTCTATTGAATGCAGTAACTTATGGGCCAGTACTATATTTACTCAGTGCAATGCAGTTATCATTATAATAATACAATTATTAATAATATTTTTCTTTTTTGTATTTGTACAGAACAAATGTGTAAAGATCAGTGAGGAAAACGTGAGCTTTTTGATACTGTGACTCATGGTGTTTAAAAGTCAGTTTCTCCCTGTACAGTTGTGATTATTTTCCCCTCCCTTTCTTCTTCTTTTATAGAATAAAACATGTTTTTGGTGCAATTTAATACCCTGTGTCTGTGTTGTTTCTTATACTTTGGTTCTTAAGTGTCATTTGCTATTAAATCGAAATGTAAGCAGTGTGTTTGTAAATTGCTGTGGCAATGAAAACAGAAAAATGGCAGAAAAGGTCGTATTTGTAACTGGCATTTTCAGAAAAAAGATTTCCCACATTTATATTCCAGACCTGCTGCTTTTACCAATATCTATAGTATATGTACGTCAGACACTTTCTTAAGTACACCTTGCTAGGGTTGCTCTGTCTTTTGCCTCGAGAAGTTCTCTGTGGCACAGATTCAACGATGCCCTGGAAACTGTCCTCTGGGATTTTGGTCCATATTGCACATCCATAATGTGAATCTTCCATTCCACTACATCATGGATGTGCTCTATTTGATTAAGATCTTGAGACTGTGGAGGCCTTTGAGTAGAGTGAACTTATTATGTCCAAGAGGATAACACACTTTGGTCATAAAGGGATGGACATGGTGAGCAACAACACTCAGGTAGATTCCGGTTATTAAATGATGCTCAATTGGTACTAAAGGGCCTACAGTGTGCCAGTAATATATCCCCCACATATTTACATCACCAGCTGTAGCTCAAACCATTGGTACAAGGCTGGATGGATCTATACTTACATGTTTATGCCAAATTATAAAACCACCATGTGAAAGTCTAAGGAGAAATCCAGAATGTTCAGACCAGGCGATTTTCTGTTGTCCAGTTTTGGTGAAGTTGTGTGAATTTTAGCCTCTAACACTAGTGGGATGAAAATTTTGAACAATTTCAGGCAAGTCACAAAGTCAAGCTCAGCCATTATCTGCAGATTCATATCAGCTACAAATCTCGTATAGCGAGCTCTATCCAAGGGGTCTTTAGATTGAGGGGGGGAAAAAAAGCTTGCATGGGTGTTACATGTGCAAAAGTGTAACTCGATTTTTGTTGTAATATGTGACTATCTGAAACACACGCCAGACATAATAGAAGGAAATGATAAGCTTGCATACGATTCCAAATCGGCAATGTAGATCTGATTCTCAGTCTTCATCCGAGCTGTGCTCCTAATAACAGTGATAACAATGGCACAGAATTCTTCATAAACCCATATAAAGTCTGCCATATTATATTTTGTGATTTTTATTTTACAGTCAGTCTCTCTTGAGATATTACATTTTAGGTAATGAAGCATCTTTTCTATCCATGATGTTGCAGGCTATCACACAAAGACAGATGATCATTGACCGTCTCATCACACCTAGAGCCAATTTAGAACCACCAATCATCATCACCCTCAGCTGGATATGTGGTTAAGAGTGTTTGAGAGAAAAAAAAATAGCATGCAAACTTTTTATTGAATGCAAATTAGATAACGACACTAAATGCTGGCAGCTCATGACGATACGTCCACCTGACAGGTGGAACAGAGCACCAGCTCGAACACGTCTCCACAGCCTGCACGCTTTTTTCCAGTTTTAACTGATTGATTTGTATGCAGTGCATAGATCCACACCCACTCACACACTATTTAAGGACACTTCAACCAGCATTTGAATAGAGAGTTAAACATGAGATGTGAGGATGCACCAGTGGGACCTAGAGCTCACGGTTGTTCCAAAACTGGTTCCACTGGGAATTCTGTGTGTAAAGAAAATGTGATAACCGCTACATTATAGAAACACAGGTAATGCTTTGCTTTACATAAACTGGACAGTGACAGTGAAAATGCGGTGAGGTTAATGCTACTGCTTACAAAGACATGATACACTCACTGAGAAGGAAGATTAATCTCAGCTGATACACTTGCAAATTGATGTGTGCACCACAAGGGGGCGTAGTGAAACAGCGAATAAACTCAGGCGCACCTAGTATCTCAGTTACATCTGCACTTGTAAACGTTAGCCGACCTCATCTCAAACAAAGTTATCAACTTGGAATAACAGACCAGAGAACGACACTGAGCTAGAACTAGGTTAATAAATAAAAACTTCCCAGCATGAAGTGCATGTACTAAGTCATAAAAACCTCCTTGTGTGTGTGTGTGTGTGTGTGTGTGTGTGTGTGTGTGTGTGTGTGTGTGTGTGTGTGTGTGTGTG